TCATTGATAAATTCAGCGAAGTGACAAGAGTATAAATAAGATCAACATACAAAAATCAGTTGGATTCCTTTACACTAATAAAGAGAGCTCTGAAAAGGAAATCAGAAAAACAATGCCTTTCATAATAGGCACCCAAAAGATGAAATACTTGGGAATAAATCTAACCAGAGAAACAAACAAACAAAAAAAAGACCTACACAAAGAAAGCTACAAAACACTACTACAAAACAAACAAACAAAGAAGACCTGCAGAAATGGAGGAATATCCCCTGCTCATGGATAGGAAAACTTTTTTAACACTAAAAATGTTAACACTACCCAAAGAAATTTATAGATACACTGCAATCTCAATCAAGATTGCAATATCATTCTTTGAAGAGATGGAAAAACTTATCACTAATTTTATATGGAAAGGAAAGACACCTAGGATAACCAAAATATTATTTTAAAAGAACATAGTATGAGAGAACAAACAAGATGGCAGATCAGGGAGGCGTGCAGTAGGAGATCCATCAACAACAACACAGAATACCAGGCCACGCAGGCTCAGGGGATGGTGCAAGAACTCCGAAGCACATATAAAGGAGTATTTAGAAGGTTGGAAGGCTTACAGCTAGGGTAATTTGTAGCAGAAGCAAGAAATCCAGTACTTTCTAATTTAAGACACTCAGCTGCTCCTGGAGCTGCCATCTTGGGCGAAACCAAGCGGGGAAAGGATCAGAGCAGCCACGGACGCCTGACAGAACCAGGGAGATAAAGGTATGGACATTCTTGTTTTTGTATCTGTTCATTGGTCTCTTGCTGTCTGCACACCTCCACTCTGGTGACTAGAGGGGGTGTCTGGGGAAATGAACACCCCACCCTCACCCCAGAGGGTTCTACTATGCGTGCACATAGATCTCCTCGAAATTTAAACAGACAGTTTCCACTTGAAACCAAAGGGCAGCGCAAAATGGCCACAGCTGGCCCTGAACTGTGTACCACTAGGAAAACAGCCTGATCAGGGGTTGTGGAGCAGGACAAGCAGACTAAAAAGGAAATAGGCCAAAAATTAAATCCTGAGTTACGTCATAACAACCAACAATGGCATCTTGAAACTTCTCAGGAAGAACAGTGAAAAGGGAAGCCCATCTCCTGATCACATCTACCTGGAGGTAATCAGAAAGCATAAAAAGAACCAAAATACACACCCATCAAAGTTTTAAGGCCAGAGCTAACTCCTGAAATATGCTCCAAAAACAAAAACAGATGATCATATCAGCACATGTCCAGAAATGAGATAAAGTGACTCAGACAAATGACCTGGAAGTGGACCTACACTCCATACTGGCAGATGGGCAGGCTTTGGAAATGCCTGAGAAGAAATTCATAAAAATGATTATAAAAAGTATCAAAACACTATACAATGAAGTTGAGAAAAGTAAGGAAGAAGTTGGGAAAGTGCTACAGGAACAATCAAATAAGATAGATACAGCACTGGAAACAATTCAAAACCTACAGAACGAGGTCCAAATGATTAATAATAGAATATCAGAAATGGACAATACACTGAAAGGGCAAAGGAGCAGAATTGAAGAGTTAGATGCCAGAACTAGTGAACTAGATGATAAATCTCTCAACACTACTAAGAAGAGCAAGCAGAAAAAAGGATTAAAAAAATCTGAAGAAGGTCTAAGACTCATGGTGGACAATATGAAGAGGAATAACTTAAGAATTATCGGCATTCCAGAAAAGGAAGAATCACACAAGTCCACAGAGGAGATAGTTGAGCTTCTGGAAGAAAAATTTCCTAACATCCTGAAAAGTGAAAAGATAAGCATTCAAAAAGCTCAACGAACCCCAGGGAGGATAGACCTAAAAGAAAATCACCAAGATATATCATAATGAAGCTCTCCAAAATCAAAGATAAGGACAGAATCCTGAAGGCAGCTAGGGAAAAGAGAAATGTAACATACAAAGGCAAGCAAATCAGATTAAGCTCGGATCTCTCAGCAGAAACCATGCAGGCAAGAAGGCAATGGAGAGACATATATAAGACCCTGAAAGACAAAAACTGCCACTCAAGAATCCTCTACCCAGCAAAGCTGTCAATCAAATACGAAGGTGTAATCAAAACATTCCAGGATAAACAGAAGCTAAGGAATTTTGCCAAAGCCATTCCTGCAATGAAAAACATCCTAAAGGGAGTTCTGTGGACTGAGAACCAACAAAAACAGACAATAACCAAAGACTGACATACATGGCAGCATCACCCTGAACTCAGTCAACAAATGGAAGAGTCGAGAACAGAATAAAATTATAAAAACATAGGCTCTGGGAGATCCATCTATGATCAAAACAATTACAATGTAAAAGAAGGTAAACACAGAGGAATGAAATAAGTCAAACACAAATAGACAAACATGAGACCACTATTGCAAAAAGTTAGAAGATTTTCTTGCTAAATGAAACATTCTATGATAGTTAAAGGGCAGGCAGGGGATGATGATGAATTAGTCACAGACTAAAAGGAGTCCTGGTGTAGTGTGTGGGATAAAACACTGGACCGCAAGGTTAGTTTGAACCACAAGGTTGGTGGTTCAAACTCACCAGCTGCTCCTTGGAAACACAACACAGGGTCGCTATGAGTTGGACCTAACTCAATGGCACTTAACAACAACAACCAACACCAAAGGGTAAACACATACGACAAAGCGGGCAATGTACAACAAGAGGGCGGCTGGCAGAGGAAAGGTGAAGGAAGCAGGAGACACAGGTAAGACCGTAAGAGTTAAAGGAGTAATGAAACAAAGTGTATGATTTGTTGAGTGTAAAAATGATGATCTGCCCTGTAAACTTTTACTCAATTCACAATAAAAACTTGAAATAAAAATAAAAGTATATAAACCTAAAAGAAAGTATATAGACCTAGATGAAGGATATGTCAAGAAAAAAAAAAAAAAAAAGAGTTAAAGGAGATACAGATAAATACCATTACGGTAGCGTAGTGGTTACAAATCGGGCTGTGAACCGCAAAGTTAGCAGTTCGAAACTACCAGCTGTTCTGTGGGAGAAAGATGAGGCTTTCTGCTCCCGTAAAGATATATAGCCTCGGAAACCCTGTATAGGGTCGCTATGAGTTGGAACCAACTCCATAACGACCAACCACCACCACTAAGTAATAGTACATGAGAGGATTGCAGTCATTGTAATGAAGCAAAGTATATGATTTGCTGAATGAAAAACTGATGATCTGCTCTGTAAACCTTCATTCAACGCAAAATTTTTTATTTTTTAATCCCATTCTAGAAACTCTATGTTTTATCTGGTATCTTTGGTCTGTTTGTATTTATTTTGGTAATTGATGTGGTTGGAATTATTTTCACTATCTTATTTTTTTTGTATATAACCATGTCTTTTCTTTGCTGTTTTTCTTTTATTTTTCCCTCCCTTCCTTCATTCTAGTAGACATAACTGTTTTCTCAACTCCCTTGCCCACACATACTCTTAATGGGTTTGGAAGGTGTACATCATTCTCTTCTGCATTCTTTTTTTTTTTAGTTTTCCTAAAAAATCTAAACAGGATTACAATAATTTCTCTCCTCCTGAACAAAACGGTCTCAGAAACCTTTAACTAAAAACCACCACCCCACCTGTCTTACACATTATCTTCTAGAGCAGCATTTACTTCTATAGGCCTAAATTGTGATGCTTAATATGCTTGTATGTCTGTCCAGATATGTTTCTTTATAACTCTGCTTCACGCAACCTCTTCATTCTGGGTTCATATTTCTCCTTGTAACATACAACTACCTTCAATGCTTCTTTCTCCATCCAAAACTATATTTATTTCTCCTTTAGGATGATGGTTTTGAAGCTTTTTAAAAACCTTCCTTTAGCACCTTTAAGATATTATTCTATCATTTTTTTGTATTGTTCAGTTATAAGTAATCTGTCTTCTCTCTCTGGCTATTATTTTGTCATTATATTTAATAATCAGTACTTTCATTAGAATGTATCAAACTGTCTTTTTTTCCCTGCTAAGCACAGTCACAGAAAAGAGAAAAAGCAATTACAGAGTGATGATTTTCTTAGTTTTCCCAAAGACTGTTCAGAATTATTACCATGATATCTGTATTTAAGATTCCTGGTATGGTGTTGTGGGAAAAGCACTAGATGTTAACCACAAGGTCAGCAGTTCAAAACCACTAGTTGCTCCTTGGAAACCCTATACAGTGTTACTATGAGTCAGAACCAACTGGACAGCACTAACAACAACAAATGTTTTTTTTAAAAAATAGGCCAAACCAGTTGCTGTCAGAAGCCCAGAGAAGAACTGCCACAGAGGTGTCAAGACTCTAATCTTTGAGGGAGCAAACTGTCAAACATATTTCTCCCGCCCAGCAGCTGGTGGGTTCAAACCATCAACTAGCACTCAAGCACTTTAATCCTGTGCCACCTGAATTGCTTATGCTATACATAAAACAAAACTAAATCCACAGTCATCAAGTCGATTCTGACTCATACTGAACTATGGACAGAGTAGAATGCTCCAGAGGATTTGTGAGGCTACTTTACGAAGTAGAATGCTGCATTTTGTCCCAAAGAGTAGCTGGGGGGTTCAAATCACTTATCTTTCAGTTAGCAACCCAACACTTAACCCGCTGTGCTGCCAGGGGTCCTTATGCTACATATGTCATATGTATGCGTATAAGACATGCTCACTCACTGCACACGGTGGAGGCCCCAAGTAGCAATCCTGTAACTTTTGCATATAACAGAGACACCTGGGAAAATTATTAAAATATAGATTGCTGGACCCCACCCTCAGTTTCCGATTTAGTAAGTCTGTAGTCCTACTAGGCAACTGTGTTTCTAACAGGCTTCATTTTTTAAAAAGAGTCTTACACATTAACAACAAGAAAAATATAATGGAAACATTTTAAAAACCATATTTATTCCTTGTTATATTAGAAAAAAGTTTGATCAATATTGAAACTATTTTAGTATATCATTCTTACCAGATTTAAGACCTGAAATCTTGAAGATGGCACTTGGTTTCCCATTTGTGACAAATCCTAGGAGTTGCCACACTGGTATTCCATTTGAATCAGGATAGGAAAAGTAGACAGATCCTCCCATCCCCTCAGGAAAAGGGATTGTTCCCAGCATAAAAACTACAACATGGTTGATATTTTCATAATCAGGCAAGTCAAAGACAAATTTATCCTCTGCCACTTGCTGTGCAGCTGTTTGGACCTAGAAAATAAGAAACTAATCTTAGTTGAATATTTGATGAGTTAATTGTATAGCCTTCATACCACATAATAATCTATGTAACTAAATACAGTCAAAACATGTAATACTGGGTCAATCCAATATTCTACTTTAAAATTACCAAATATACCAGTAGTATCTTTAACCTTAAACAATCATTCCAACTCACCCCATGGCTCAATTTCCAGCACTAGTGATAACACTGATCACACCATAGGATGGCCAACCAGTGGCGATCTAAAGAGTAGTATTTACCAAAGGTCAGATTCTGAAGGGTGGGTAAAGGAGGAGGAAGGGAAATAAGAAACACAGGCAAGAAGGAGAATAAAGGGATTGAAATAGGGATGAAATGAAGTGTATGACTAGCTGAATGTAAAATTAATGATCTGCTCTGTAAACCTTCACTCAACTCATAATAAAAAGTTTTTTAAAAAACCATTCCAGGAACATATTATTTTTAAAATATAACTGTATTATATTAGAGAAGTGCCCTGAAAGGATCTTCCTTACATAGGAAACCGTAGCTTCAGACTAAACCAAAGCCATACCCACTAACAGGAGGATTTCCATGGCTCCAAATCTTTACAGAAACCTAGGGCCAACTTCTTGTATCAAAGAGTAGCTGGAAGGTTCAAACTGACACCATTCAGTTCACTGCTAAGCACTTTTACCACTGTTCCACAAGAGTTCTGATACTGTCAGAATGCCGCAAAAATAAAAGGTTGTTCAAATTAAAGCACACCTATGCCTTACTTTGTAGTTTGAAAGTACAAAATTTAGAGTAATGAGTAAGTAATCTAGAAATAATTATATAAAAAGCTAAATTTCTACCATGAATTTGGTTCATTTCATAATGTAAGTTTCCGTTCTAGAATAAAATATCAATTTAGAAAGAGGTATTATTTTGAAGTTGGAGAAACTACACTCATAAGAAAAATTCTATCATACTTTTATAAAATGCAATTGCTGATAACATCCATTAGCAAAAAATCGTTAATTTTTAAAGCACTCAGGTTGATAAGCTATCAGAGTTTGCCCTATATAAAGTGGGGTTTTTTTTTGTGTTTAAAGCTTTTATTGTGAATTGAATGATAGTTTACATGACAGAACATCAGTATTGTACTTATCCTATCATATTTCATTTCATTGCAATGATTACAATCCCCTCTACGTATCATCATTCAACAGTATTTGCTTCTATTCCCTCTGTTTTGGGGGGGGGGGATTTCCAGGGGGAAGGTTGATGTACATAAAAACTCTCAAGAATATATAATCATTTAAACAACCCAAGGACACACTCTGCAAGCCTGCCTCCTGGCCACCAGCATACAACCTTTTTCTTTCCATGAGTCTAGAGTCCTCAGCTGCTCTATCTCTCCATGTCATCATCTCTGCCTCCATCTTTGATGTTGCTGCTTCTCTGGATAGGGTCCCACATTCCACTCATGCTCTTATCCCTTGATGGTCCTAGGGTCTTCCATTCCTAGGATGTTAGATTAACGACTCCCCACTTTATGTTACAAAACTTCTACTTTACAGTTGTGACGATTGCAATTAGTCATGATAACAATTACTCACTACTGAATCATAAGAATCTTATCCCCATCTCCTTTCACCAGACCTGTCTAGACAAGACGAAAACTATTCAGTACGAATTTTACCTTCCCCCACCTCCCCCACCCCCGCACACTCTAAAACTAAACTCCCTCTTGAAAATTTGTAAGCCAGCCACTTTGTGCCTTTATAGCTCTCCCCACCCCCATTTTAGGTAGCCAGTGTCTAAATTGCCCATCCCTATCAACCCTGTGTATAGAAGGGATAGGTTTGACCCTTAATGTGAGGATTTCTTCCCTCTCAGTTGGTATTTTGAGCTACTACCTCCATAGATACAAGTCAAGTTCATTAAATTGTAGCAATTTACACTTGTTTCCTTTATCAACTTTCTTCATCTTCTTCTAGTAGAGTTTTGATCACCAAACCATGGAAGCTAAGTCAATAAGTACTATCTGCAAGTTTGGGTGTTCTTGTACATCTCTCCCCTCACTTCATATCAGCTAGACACTTCATTCAACTCTGGCCCTCCGTAGCTAGGTCCTTGTCCATGGGCTTGGAGTCCTCAGGTCTCACCATATTTTGGACCAACCAGCCTTTCCTCTTCTCCCTCTCATCTCCAGGTAGATGGAAGTCTCTGGAACGTGGTCAAACTCAGCTCATATCTTCATTGCTGCCTTCCCCCACTTCTACTCACCAGTGGACAAATGTGGTGGCCAGCAAGCTTACCTGCCTGCTCATATGTTCCCTTTAAATTTCAATCTTGGAGGGGGATTTGTCCTGAAGGGACTTGATTGCTAGCCTTGATGGCTTCTCAGGGAAAACTTGCTTGTTCTTATAGTATTCAATCAAACTGCCGTTTTTGTTTTTGATTTTTCCTGCTGGTTTTTCTTTCAAGAAGCATCTTCTGTTCCTCTAGCAGCTAAAGGAACTTTCTGTTCAGCTCTTTTACCTCCTTCCTTCTATTTGCTTTAGCATCTCTACACTGGAAAGCAAGTTTCAGAGACTCTTCTGATATCCATTTTGGTGTTTTCTTTCTTGTCTTCTTAATGACTTAAAAAAAAAAAAAAACAGAAATTTTTATATCCACAATTTAGTAATCTAGAAGTTCAAATTCAGATACAGGGTGCTAGGAGTCGAAACTGACTCAATGGCAATTAACAACAACTCTAGGGGAAAACTTTCTCTGTCAGTTTTAGAAGAAGGGTTCACTCTCTTCAGCTTCTGCTTCCTGGATCCTTGGAGATGTCCACGTATCTAGGCATCTATGGGTATTTTATCCAAACTCTACTTTTCTCCCTTGCTTATTTAATATCTTTTATTTTACTTGAGACACACCCTCCAGGAATCCTGTCTCATTAACATAACAAAGATACTCAGTTCCAAATGGGATTATAACTGCAAATATATTGTTTCACAGTCTCTTCTGATATTCATGTTGGTCTTTTCCTTCTTTCTTGTCTTCTTAATGACTTTTTGCTCTCTTCTTGTATGATTGATGTTCTTGATGTTATCCCACAACTCTTCTGGTCTTCGATCATCAGTGTCTAATGTATCAAATTTGTTCTTGAAATTATCTCTAAATTTAGGTGGGATAGATTCAAGGTCAAATTTTGGTTCTTCTGGACTTGTTTTAATTTTCTTCAGTTTCAGACTGTCAATTGCTAGTTGATAAGTCTGTTCCACAATCTGCCCCAGGCCTTGTTTTGGCTAATCATATGGAACTTTTCCACGTCTCTTCCCACAGATGGAGTTAATCTGATTTCTGTGTATTCCATCTGGTGAGATCCATGTGTATAGTCATCTTTTATGTTGTTTAAAAAGATGTTCGCAATGAATACGAATCGGACTGCGTACCACAAGGTCAGCAGTTCAAAACTACCAGCTGTTCCACGGGAGAAAGATGAGGCATTCTGCTCCCATAAAGATTTACAGCCTCAGAAATCCTGTACAGGGTCGCTATGAGTCAGAACCAACTCAACGGCACATAACAACAACAACAAATGAATAAGTCATTGGTCTTACAAAACTCTTATCATGTGATCTCCAGCATTGTTTCTATCACCAAGGCCATATTTCCCAATGACTGATCCTTCCTCTTTGTTTCCAACCTTTGTATTGCAATCACCAGTAATTATCAACACATCTTGATTGCATGTTGGATCAATTTCAGACTGAAGTAGGTGGTAGAATTCTTTCATTTCATCATCATTGACTTTAGTGATTGGTGTTTAAATTTGAATAATAGTGGTATTAACTGTCTGCCTTGTAGGCATATCGATATTATCCTATTACAGACAGCATTAAACTTCAAGGTGGATTTTGAAATGTTCTTTTTGATGATGAACCTTTCCTCTTCAATTTGTCATTCCCAGCATAGTAAACCATGTTTGCAGATTCAAACGGCCAGTACCAGTCAATTTCAGCTAATGTCTAGGATGGTGTCCTGGTATGGCGCTGTGGGTTAATGCACCAGACTGCAAAGCCACTTGAACTGCATAGGGTCGCTATGGGTTGTAACTGACTCGATGGCACTTAACAACAACAACATCTAGGATATCTTTTTTTCTTTTTTAATGTTTTATTGTGAATTATGTGATAGTTTACATAGGAGAACATTAGCTTTACATGCATCCTATCATATGTCGTTTCATCGTCATGGTTACAATCCCCTCCGTGCATCATCAACCAACCAAAGGGTATACCCTGCAAGCCTGCCCCTGGTCATCAGCACACAGCTCCTCTCCCTCTCTGGGTCTGAAGTCCCTAGCTGCTCCATCTCTCCACGTCATGGTCTCTGCCTCCATCTCAGGCATCACTGCTTCTCTGGGTAGGGTCCCGCTCTCTGCTCTTCTCCCTTGATGGTCCCAGGGACCTCTGCTCCTAGACTACAAAGTTAATCACTCCCCTCCTTGCTACAAAACGTCTACCTCTACATTTCCAACCCTCACAAGCAGTCCTGATAACAATTGTTCACTATTGTATCACAAAAGACCTATCTGCATTTCCTTTCATCAGCCATGGCTAGAAAGATTGGACACTACTTAGTGGAGATTCTACCTTCCTCCATGCCCTCTGGATCTAAGTTCCTTCTTGAAAGCCTGTAAGCCAGTCACTTCTTGCCTTTGTAGCTCCCCCATTTTGGGTAGCCAATGTCCAAGTTGCCCATTCTTAATGACCTTTTGCTTTCTTCTTTTATGATGCTCTTGATGTCATCCCACAACTCTTCTGGTCTTTGCTCTTTGGTGTCTAATATATCAAATCTGTTCTTCAGATGATCTCTAAATTCAGGTGAGTTATGTTCATGGTCATATTTTGGTTCTTGTGTACTTGTTTTAATTTCCTTGAGCTTCAGCCTGAACTTGCATATGAGCAATAGATGATCTATTCCACAGTTTGCCCTGGCCTTGTTTTGGCTGATGATATGGAGCTTTCCACTGACTTTTCCACAGATGTAGTCAATTTGATTTCTTTGTATTCCATCTGGTGAGGTCCATGTATACAGTCATCTTTTATGTTGTCAAAAAAAACAAATTCTCCAGCATCATTTCTATCACCAAGGCCATATTTTCCAACTACTGAGCCTTTCTCTTTTTTTTCCAATCTTTGCATTCCAAACACCAGTTATTATCAATACGTCTTGATTGCATGTTTCATCAATTTCAGACTGAAGAAGTTAGTTGTTGTTGTTAAGTACATGGAGTCGGTTCCAACTCATAGTGACCCTGGCACAGGGTTTCCAACGCTGCAAATCTTTATGGGAGCAGAAAGCCTCATCTTTCTCCCGCGGAACAGCTGGTAGTTTCAAACTGCCGACCCTGAGGTTAGCAGTCCAATTCGTAACCACTATGCTACCAGAGCTCCTTGAAAAAGTTAGTAGAAGGCTTCAATTTCATCATCACTGGCTTGGTGGTAAATTTGAATGTGTTGTTGTTGTTGTTAAGTGCCATTGAGTCGATTCCGACCCACAGCGACCCTGTGTAGGGTTTCCAAGGAGCAGTTGGTGAGCTTGAACCACCAAACCTTTGCAGCCTGACTCATTTGCCCACATGGCCATAGCAGGACTCTGAAATTTGAATAATAATGGTATTAATTGGTCTATCGAGTAGACATATGGATATTATCCTATCACAGACAGCATTGTACTTTAAGACAGATCTTGATATGTTGTTTTTTTTAATGTTTGTACAGTTTATTTATATGCTCTTTTTGATGATAAAGGCGACGCCATTCCTCTTCACTTTGTCATTTCTGGCATTGTCAACCATGTGAATGTCATATTCAAAATGGCCAATAACAGTCCATTTCACAGATACCTAAGATATCGATGTTTATGCGTTCCATTTCATTTTTGACAATTTCCAATTTTCCTAGATACATACTTTGCACATCCCATGTTCCTGATTATTAATGGATGCTTACAGCTGTTTCTCTTCAGTCTGAGTTGTGCCCCATCAGCAAATAAAGGTCTCTTAAGTTTTACTCCATTCACGTCACCGCTTGCTTTCAACCTTCATGTCACCACTTGCTTTCAGCTTCAGGGGCTCATTTTCCAGCACTATATCTGACAATATTCTGGTGCTCCCTCCATAATATCCCACCAGTTACTACAAAGAAAAACATCCCACAACATTTAAATTCAACTTTTTTTAGCTAGTTGTAGTAACAACTGCTCTAAATTAAATTCTCAAGAGACCAAGGCAGAGTATTCTTAAAATTATGTCCTAATTCCCTCTTTTGAAGTTTTCTGACCCAGTTTAAATATCAAAAAATAAACTCAAAAGAAGACTATATATTAACTATAAATCAACCAGCCTTGGACAACATTAAATTCAATTTCAACAGTTTTAGGTATGCATACATTTCAAGTCTTAGAAACCCTGTACAGGGTTGCTAGGAGTCGGAGCTATCTCAAAGGCACTTACCAACAACAAATAACCTTAGAGGGTATATAAAAGTATGGTACCTACAAGTCTTGAAATAATCATCAAGCACAAAATAAATATTTTAAGTGTCAACTCTGTATGTTACTGTTGTTAAGTGCTGACTCATAGCAACCCCATATAGACTTTCTAAGGAGCAGTTGGTGGGTTTGAACAGTTAACCTGTGGTTAGCTGTCCATTGCTTAACCTACAGAGCCACATCAGGATCCCAACTCTATAGAGGCCACCAATGGAGTCCTGGTGTGACGCTGTAGGATAAGTACTGGACAGTTAACCACAAGGTCTATGGTTCAAACCCAACAGCTACTCCTTGGAAACCCTATATAGCAGGGGTGGGGAACACCCAGCCCTCAGACCCCAGAAGGCCCGTGAAACCATTTGGTCTGGGCCTGTCAAGGCAACCACAGTTCCAACCATCACATTTTGTTTTTGTTGTTGTTCAGTATCATGGAGTCAGTTCCAACTCATAGCAACCTTGTATGGGGTTTCCTAGGAACAGTTGGTGGGTTTGAACCACCAACCTTGTGGTCTGCAGTCCAGTGCTCGTCCTATAGCGCCATACCATAAGTCCAGCCATCACGAGAGTAATTTAATTAAATATTTGACCAAATACATCAGGCTAATTTTTAAATTGATAATGTTGTATGGACTGTGAATGTTGTTATAAATTTTGGCAGAAAAAAGGTTCCCCATACCTGCTATACAGGGTTACTATGAGTCAAAACTGACTTGATGGTCCTTAACAACAATAATAAAGCTGTAAATCTGCATTAAGAAACTCCGATTCCTGACCTTAGGAAAAAAAGGTACTTCTTTTAGTTAAGAAAGAATTTTCACAGAATAAGAAACTAGATTCATAACTTTAGATGAAGTGGGATTTTCTGGTAACAGAGAAGTGTGGTAAAGTAGTCAGATACTGCTAGGTCTATCTGGCCTTTCATTTTGATTTATCTGTTTTGTTGTGTTGTTGTTGTTGTTGTAAAGTGCTGCCGAGTCAATTCCTGCCCATAGCAACCCTGTATAGGGTTTCCGAGGCAGAATGGTGAGCTTGAACTGCCAACCTTACGGTTCAAAGCAACTTTGCAGCCCAGCGCATTAACCCTCAGTGCCACATCAGGACTCCAAACTGTTTTAATAATCCAGAATTAAAAAAGTTAAATACTTTCCCTCCTCACCAAAACAATTCTTGTCCTAAAGGAACCTTAACTGATCATTCATTACAGATGTTAGATAACTAACTACAAAGGAGTTCTGGTGTAGCGCTGTGGGTTAATGCGTGGGCTAATGCGCCGGACTGCAAGTTCGGTTTGAACCACAAAGTCAGTGGTTCAAACTCACCAGCCACTCCTCGGAAACCCTATACAAGGTTGCTATGAGTCAGAACTGACTCCACAGCACTTTAACAACAACATGGCTATAATTAAATTATCTTCCAAAGTAGCTAATAACATAAGAGATATATAGATTGCACCTATTTTTGTCCTTTAAAAGCAGACACACATTTTTAACATCTCATCTGAGTTCCACACTCCTCCCAGGTTGGTCCTTTCATTATCCTTAGGAAGACCAGGAACAATAGTTTTCTCACAAGAATTAGCCAATTACCAGCATTATCACAAAAAGCTTACTACTTATTCAAGAGATGGAGCATCATGAGGTTAGTCTTACCGTGCTTTGATTTCAGACGCTACAATAATTCATATTTGAGGTTGTTTGGAATATAGTACATTATAAAAAACTGATGGAAAACTTAACAATTCAACAAGGAGCCAACAGTTACAAAAGTGAGGGGAAAAGGGAAGAAAAAGTGCTCTGAAAATGGATTTTTAGGTTGTTTGTATGAAGGCAAGCAACAGTCACCTTTAAAATTACCTAACAATTGCAGGTTCTGATCTCATTTAATTCTTAGAATCTGGAAAGGTGGGTTACTGTCTCTTATGACTAAAAAAGGAATCATGCTGTTCCCATCCTTCTGAAGTATTACAAGTATGGCTCACAGTAAGCTTCAGGCGTTTGTATTAGCCAACTTCCAACTATATAAAGCACATTTTACTTAGATAATGCCAAAGGGACCCACATGATGTACATTGCTCTATCACTTTAATTACCAGCTGCTCCGCGGGAGAAAGATGGGGCTTTCTGCTCCCGTAAAGATTTACAGCCTCAGAAACCCTGTTCAGGGTCGCTATGGGTCGGAACCGACTCGACGGCACTTAACAACAACATCACTTTAACTTAAGAAACAAGACACTGCATAGGTTATATTCAAATCGCAGGATCACGGTGTGCATTTAGTCAATTACTAATACTGTCAATTGCAGCAAAAGTTCCTCAACTGCAACATGGAAATGTTAATAACTCATCTCACGAGTTATGAGGATTACGCTTAGGTATCAAACAAGCGTTACATACAAGGCTGAAATGACGAGTAATTGACAAAAGCCATGAGAAGATGTACTTCGCCCATTGCCTGGTACACAACGGACGCGCGACAAATGGCAGCTAATGTTGTGATTTTATTCAAATGAATCTCCACAAAACTGGAGGCAAAATAGAGCACCCCGCCGCCCCTTCACACATCCAGGCAAAAAGCAGACATTCGAGGGTTATCCCGCAACATTCGCACCGGCGCACCCTCCAGTCCCGCGAGCTTCGCCCTTAGTATCCCGCCCCTTCTTTTGATATCACCCCGCCCCATCCTCACCAGCCTGCCCGCCACCAAGCAGCCAAACATGGCGACAACGGCTCCGCTGACCGGGCAGGGGCCCGAAGCCAACAACTAGAAATTCTGCGTCTACTCCCCTAATCCAAGAATCTTCTAGAACTTGCTGAACGGCGCCTGCCCCATCACTACATAGCGACTGGATCTGCGGCAGGAACGCCTTCTGCCCCCACGACCTCTGACACTTTTTCCTAACCAGCAACAAGTACTTCCGGGGCTTAGACACAAACGACTTGCGAGCGGTGAAACAGTGGGAAACTACAAATCCCAGGGGGCTCTGCGCTAGTTTCCAGGAAGAGAGTTAGAAAGATTTGCTTGCTGGGATGAGTAGTCCGGGATTCCCTATGCTAGCTGTCCGAATCCAGGTTTCCGAATACAGTGTTCACAGAAGTCACTAAAGTTTATGTAACATAATTCGAAAACATAATTTTTTCGCCCAACTTTTGCATGCATATGCTGTTAACTGCCGTAGAGTCTGTTCTAACTCATAGCGACCTTATGAGTTTGAACCACCGACCTTGTGGTTAGCAGTCTAGTGCTGACCCGACAGCACTCACTAGGACTCATGAAAATACGAAGGAACCCTTCAATCTTCAAACTGACATCTTTGTTCTCTAACACTTTAAAGAGGTCTTTTGCAACATATTTTCCCAATGCAATACATCATTTGACTTCTTGATTACTGCTTCCATGGGAGCTGGTGTGCTGCTGCAAGATAATGCACTGGACCAAAAGGTCGCTTTGAACCACAAGGTAAGTGGTTCAAACCCACCAGCCACCCCTCAGAAACCCTATACCGGGTCACTATGAGTCGGAACCTACTGGACAGCATTTAACAGTAACAGCAAGCTCCCATGAGCATTGATTACCAATCCAAGTAAAATAAAATCCTTGACAACTTCTATCTTTTTTCCATTGATCATTATGTTACTTATTGGTCCAGTGTGAGGATTTTTGCTTTCCTTGTGTTGAGGTATAATCCATATTTGCGGCTATAGTAGGCTTTGATCATCATCAGTAAACGTTTGCTTTCAGCAAGCAAGGCTGTGTTATCTGCATATGAAATGTTGTCAGTGTGTCTTCCCCTGCTGACACCACATTCTTCATATAGTCTTAGTTTCTCGTTTTATTTGCTCAGTATACAGATTGAATAAATATGGTAAAATTATACAATCCTAAAGCACATCTTTTCTAATATTAAACCATGCAGTATCCTCTTGTTCTGTTGGAGTGTTTTGTTCTGCATATTGACTAGTAAATAAATTATAGCCTCAGAGTTCTTTCAACTAGTTCTGATGTGAAATAAGTACCAGATTTGCAAGGTTGGTTTGAACCTCTAGCTCGGCTGTTCAAACTCACCAGCCAGGCGCTCCTAGGAAATCCTGTACAGGGTTACTTTGAGTCAGAACTGACTTGACATCACTTAACAACTGTACTACTTTTAATAAACTGTTTTGTACTTATTGACAACTTTCTTGTACCCCTTCCCAGCTGTATAACCATGATAAGTTATATATAACTCTTTTGTGCTCCAGTGTCCCCAATTGTAAAATAAGAATTTCCTAACCACAAAGTTAAAATTGACCAGCCACTCCTAGGAAACCCTATACAGGGTCGCCAAGAATTAGAACTGACTTGATGACACTTATCAACAGCAAGCTAACTATGAGGGTTAAATTAGTTGATATATATAAATCACTTAAGATGTTGTTGTTGTTGTTGTTGTTGTTAAGTACCGTCAAGTTGATTCCGACCCATAGCGACCTTGAACAGGGTTTCCAAGGAGTGGCTGGTGAGCTTGAACTGCCAGCTTCTTTTGCAATTCCACACTAGCCCAGCACCCTCCCTGCTGCAGGACTAGGTGCCCCCAGGGTACTTGTACAGAGGGGAGCATCAACAGCAATCTGCTACCTTCATTCTTGCCTCCTCCTGGACCTTTCCAGCCACTTATGGGCCTGTCTCTGAAAGGCTACCTCAAAATCTGCCTCAGTCTCCTGTTTCACACAAAGAGCTGCAATGGTGACTGGTCGGTGGGAATGGGACTGGCAAGAGGTCTTCTGGAAAGCTGGACACTTAGTTGTGAGGCTGAGAGACATGTGAGGCTAGGAGCTGAAATAGGAAGGAAACTTGGGTACATGCATAAAATAGTCTGATAGTGTATTTTTCACTCTTATAGTAAAAATAGCTGATAACTGAGGAGTATATATATAGAATTTAACACAGTGCATGGTAAGAAGTAAGCTGCTGAGTATTCAGAGTATTTTTATACAAATAACAAGCACACCATATGATTTTTTCAAACTGCAAAACGACCCCATACGCTAGCTTCTTGTGAGTGCTGTGTGCATTGCATGAGTGTGTGGGCATGTTATATGTGAAAAATACAGTAATAGTATAGCTACTATTGTTGAAAATGCAACAACTCTTGAAGTATGATCCCTGAATCAGAAGCATCAACAGACTGATAATTTGTTAAAATCGAAAGCTCTCTTGTCCTACCCTGCTGCTGTCACTGCCAATGAGTCGAATCCAACTCATGACAATCCTGTTGTATAGGGTTTCTGAGGCAGTAAATCTTTATGGGAGCAGAAAGCCTCATCTTTCCCTTGCAGAGTGGCGGGTGGATTTGAACTGCAGACCTTATGGTTAGAAATCTAGTGCTTATCCTACAGCACTAACAGGGTTCCTTGCCTTACCCTAGAACTACTGTATCAGAAACTCTGATTTAACAAGCTCTCCACATGATTTTAATGCAAGCTACAATTAGAAAAACACTTCTAAAAGGAGCCATGGTGGCACAGTAGTTAAGCACTCCACTGCTAACTGAAAAGTTGGTGGTTGGAAGCTAACCTACCAACCATTCCACACAAGAATGATATGATAGTTGATTTCCTTAAAAATGTACAGTCTTGGAAACCCTATGGGGCAGTTCTGCTCTGTCGTGTAGGATTGCTATGAGTTGGAATCAACTCATTGGTAATGTGTTTGCTTTAATTTGACTAAAGAAAATGTAACAGGTTGGATCTGTATGTGCTTCTTGTTGGGTGCCACCAAGTTGATTTCCACCCTATGTGTAACAGAAAGAAACAGTGCTCGATCCTGCGCCAGCCTCACAATAGCTATGTTTGAGGCCATCCTTGCAGCCACTGTGTCAATCCTTCTCATTCAGGGTCTTCTTTTTCATTAACCCTCTATTTACCAAGCATGCTTTCTCCTGATAATATGTCCGTAGTACAGGAGACTAAGTCTTGCCATCCACACTTCTAAGGAGCATTTTGACTGTAATTCTTCAAGATAGACTGTGGCAGCTCATGGTATATGCAATATTCTTCAACACCGTACGTAACTCATAGGTATCAATTCTTCTTCGGTCTTCCTTATTTTCTGGTCAGCTTTTGCACACCAGGTGATTGATGGACTGTGTATATGCTCAAAATAAAACAAAACAAAAAAGGCTTACTGCTACCGAGTCAGTTCCAATTCATAGCAACCCTGTTAGAACGTTTTTTGAGGCTGTAAATCTTCACGTGAGCAGACAGCTCTCTATTTCCCCAGCGGAGCAGCTGGTGGATCTGAACTGCCCCACCAGGGCTCCTTTTGTATATGCTTGTTGTTGTTCTTGTTAAGTGCCGTCAAGTCAGTTGCAACTCCTATCGTTCCTGTATAGGGTTTCCGAACACTGGCTGGTGGGTTGGAACCACTGGCCTTGCAGTCCAGTACTTATTCTACAGTACCACAGCATGGCTTCTTTGTATGTGCTAGGAACTAAGAATATTTGTTGTTGTTGTTGTTGTTGTTGTTAGGTGCCATTGAGTTGGTACCAATCCATAGCGACCTTATGCACAGCAGAAAGAAATACTGGCCGATCCTAGGCCTACCTCACTACTGTTGCCACACTTGAGTCCATCGATGCTGCCACTTGGCCAATCCATCTTGGTGGGGGTCTTCTCTTTTTCTCTGACCCTCCGCCTTACCAAACATGATATCCTTCTCCAGTGATTTGTTTCTCCTGACAATATGTCCAAAGTATGAGAGATGAAATTTGGCCATCTTGGGCTCCAAGGAGCACTCTGGCTGCACTTCTTCCAACAGAGATCTGTTGGTTCTTTTGGCACTCCGTGGCACTTTCAGTATTATCCTCCAACACCACAACTCAAAAGCATTAATTCTTCTATGGTCTTCCTAATTCATTGTCTAGCTTTTGCATGCATATGAGGTTATTGAAAATACCATGACTTGTGTCAGGCACACCTTAGTCTTCAAGCTGACATCTTTGCTCTTCAACACTTTAAAAAGGTCTTGTGCAGCAGATTTGCCTATTGCATTAAGTCCACATGTCTTTCTTTTCCCTCGACACCTTTATTTGAGGGAGTATTACTCGTGGTGTTCAGGCTTACCTTCACCCTTATACAAAATACAAACAAATAAGGCAAGGGAAAAAGGAGGACTTTTCCACATTGTCTGAAACTGATCAGAGATTCATTTAAGTAAAGATTTCTTAGCTCACTGTTCATTTATTCAATATTCCACTGAATGCCTACTATAGCCAGTGTGTTAAGCATTGGGGATTCAAAGAAAAAAGAAAGACCCCTGATGTTTCAAGATCCCCTAGCTTAGCACTGATTTTTTTAACATAAGAACCACAAGAATGTATACATTTGAGTGTAGTACTATACTGAGCTGGTGTGATCAGGAATATTATAAAAGAAGCAAAAGAGAGAGGAGCATTAACTCAGAAAGGCAGAAGTGCTTTTCCAGAAGACAAGCACAGAGACTAAAGAATCTTTACAGGAAGAGACAGACTCATCTTTCTCTGAGGAGCAAGTGATGATTTTCAACCACCGACCTTTTGCTAAACAGTCATGTAAACCAGCAGCTTAGCAAAAAAATTCAGAAATTCTGTTATTTAGCTACATCTAGAGAAAAGAATTTCTAATTAGCAATGTTAAATTTCTTTCTAATGAAGTAACATTTTTTAATCTGTGTTTCAGATTCACCTGAGGGAACTTTTAGAAAAATCAGTGTGGGACTCTGTCTTAGGCTGGGATTCATGGATCTGTAGTATGTTCCTTATATAATTATGATGCCCTTTCCCACAGACCAGTGTTTGGGAACCATTGTGTGACACAGATTTACGTTGGCACTGTTCTTGTTTTGTTATTAAGTGTGGTCAACTTGGTTCTGACTCATGGGAACCCTT